TATAGAACTTAATTTAATTTTCTGATATGACAAATGTTTTTTTTTGTGTTTTATCTCAATAGCAGCATGAGCTCTTGGATTTCAGAGACCACCCGAGTTGTGCTATGTTACTGCGGATTGTCGGCTCCGTTACTCATGTCACGACAACCTCATAGTAGTATGAGAGTTCTACAGTTGTCAGAGGGGCGTTTCAGCGCGATTAGGTTTCTTCCGTTGGGCCGACATTCCGGCATACTCCGCCACCGACATTGATCCTTGTACGATGGATTCTCAAGAGGACAGTACAGTTGAGGACAAACGGCGTCAGAGTTTTAAATTAAACATTTTAATATTTTTAATTGTACTTGTAATTGTATTTCTCTTTATTTTATTTCTTCTGATACTCACGAGATAGTGAGCAGTGTATTTTATTTTTTTGAACTGATCTGTAACAGTTTGAGGCTTTTATTCTATCTATTATTTCTCTCATACAGTTCTGTTGCAAACAACTTCACCAAACAGGGGTAGAATACCCATTTATCTAGCAACAACTGACAATAAGCTATTTTGAATAAGCTTCCCCAAACAACAATCCAGCTTATTCTGATAATCTGCAGATTATCAAATTATCATAATAATCTGCTTATTAGCAGACTATAAATAATCAACAGCTGCACCAAATAGACCCTAAATGTGGATTTACATAATTTTGATACTCATAGAGATCTGAAAATTTTCATCAAGTGACTCCCGGCAGTGAAGCGAGTCTTTGAATATGAGGATATTCCACCAAACAAAATGATTAAACCAGTTGTCATCAAGTTAAAGAAGAGTGCGTTGCTGTGGTAGAACAATTTGAAACACCTACACCAGCGTGAGAGAAAAATTAAAATCATTATATATCCAAGATAAAATGGGAGATACAATGCAAGTACTTACCCGAACATTACAGGTAGGATATGTTCTTGAGACTTACCAATTACAACATCGCAATTGACCGCCACATCTTGTAGGCCAATTCAATCTTAGGATTAAGCAGCAAGAGTATATCGAGTGGAACATCCAAACCGAACTAGCCTGAGGAGAAACTATTTCATAATGGAAAGCAGGTAGAGCCAACCGACATTTCAAAATACATCCTAACCAGTAAGTGTTTCACGTGTCATAGATTTGGGAATATTAAAACAGATTCCCTAAATAAAAATGATCACTTTCACTAAGTAGAGAGCAGTTGAAGAAATTGACACTGATATAAGAGAAGATGAAAACTTCAGAGAGGGGTCTCAACTCCTCGCTGACGAGGAAGAGACAGTGAGTTAAGTTGAGCTTATGAGAGAGACTCCCGATAGATTAGCCTATCAGATGAAAGAGCTACTAATCGAAATAAATTAAAAATAGTATAGTTTACCTCGTTAATAGTTGTCTCCGTCATCTACAAACGTTTTCCCTTCTATCGCTCATTCTTTACTCAGCTAATTAAACTTGAAAAATTAGTTTAAAACAATTATAGACTAAGCAAGCCAGTAAATACTCATATTCATAAACCACATTAATACAAAAGAAAAGAAAACAATATGCATGCTAGTTAACATTTTTAATAAATCACTATAAATATTTGATGTTATTTAAAAAATCTTATTATATCAATAACATATCAATATAGTTTCATATATATACAGTTGTCAAAAAAGCATTATCTAAAAATTTGTACCAATTAAGGTACTTCAATATCAATATCATTTTTCCATATACGTGCATGGGTGTACCTTAGTGCTCCCCCACTAGTACCATTAATGAGTGACTATCACAGTCAGGCATGTACATAGAAGTAATCTATGCAAATCATTTCATTCAAAAATTCATCACTCAATTGTAATACATTAAATATTTTATACTATGAGATTATAAGCATTCGCATCGACATGAATGATAAAATTTAATAATACAACAATCAATTGCATTAATCAAACATAACTAATAACCCATAAAACTGGTTTAGAAAAGATCAAAATGGAGCTATAATTTGAATAGTATTCACCTCATTAAAAGACAATTTGTTTGTTCTTGGCGTCGATTCTTCTAAAGTAGAAAATCTAAAGCATGAAATTCATGTTTATTAAAATTTAATTTATGTTATCATATTTATACAAGTAACCTTTTAATTATAAAACTATTTTCTATTCAAAAATCATTATCAAATAATTTAATTAAAGTTATTAAAACTTACTCACATGAGTTCTGTTGAGCCCTACTCAACTTCGTCTCCTTCATCTACCATACGCACGAGTTTTGATTTCTGCAAGACTCGGTTTAATCCACATAGAATAGCTTTTATTAATCCCTCACACGAAGCCGCGCCTCCTTTGTACAAAGTCGCTTCTTCTTCCTTCCACACTTTTCTCCTCTATTTTTCCTCTCAATAAGGGCGCGACCTCCTTCAACCTATAGATCGGGTCGCACATAGCACAAACTACACTCGAGCACCTCACTGTTGTGAAGATAGTGTCTTGTGTTGAAATAAAGGTTGACCAGCCTCTTCTTTCTCACGCTTCTTTCTCCTAACTTCTTCCTCTGCACTCGCACACTAGCCGCTCGAAGCTCGACGCCGCCTCCTAGCACGAGAACTCTTTCGATCGAACCCGCACGCGGCTTTGACCCTCTTGGTAAGTTCCTGCCTCTCATGTTGATTTATAGGGCGAACTCACCTCCTAAACATCCAAACTCTCGTTTCTTCTCTCGTCTGTTCGTTTTCTCTGAATCATCGTTTCTCCTACGTTCTTCGCATTGTCTCCCTTGTAACTGAAACGAGACTACTACAATTATTCCCACTTACAAAAAATTTCATCCTTGAAATTAAAAAACGAATCGCACATCAAATCTCATTAAGCATTTTCAATCGGACTCCCTTCTTCTATAACTTCGATTGTGGCACTATGTCTGGATGGATATACTTATTAATTTGATTTAACTTCAAATTTTTAATTATTATTTTCTTATTATTATCTTATTGACTCTTTTTTCATGATTCAATTAATTAATACTAAACCTTGAGCTCTGATACCACTTTTGTCATAATCTGACCCAGGGTTTGGAATTAATCAATACGGGAACAGACGCTCGGATGGTGAGAATTAAATTTTCTATATTCATTTACTATTTAAAGATGAAAGAGTCACTCATCGAAATAAATTAAAATAGTATATTTAACTTTACCTCGTTACTGATTGTCCACTTCTTCTATTATAAATATTTTCTCTTCTATTGCTCATTTTTAAATCAACTAATTAAACCTGAAAAAAAAAGTTTAAAACTATGAGATGAACAAGTCAACAAATACACATAATTATAAATCATACTAAAACAAGAGAAAAGAAAAATAATATGCATGCTAGTTAAACTTTTTTAATTAAACAATATAAATATCTGATGTTATTTAAAGAGTCTTACTATATCAATAGCATATCAATATTATTCCACATCTATAAAATCGGCATAGAAGCACTGTCTAAAATTTTATACCAATTAAGGTACTTTAATATCAATATACATTTGCATATACGTGCATGATACCTTAGTGATCCCCACTAGTACCATCAAGGGGTGACTCCATCATAGTCATTCATGCACACACAAGCAATCTCTATAAATCATATCACTCAATTATAATACATTAATTATTTCATATTATGAGATTACAAGTATTCGTATCGAAATGATTGATCAAATTTAATAATAGAATAATCAATTGCATTAAACATGCATAATTAAACAACCTACAAAACTAGCTTAGAAGAGATATCAAAATGGTGTTATAATTCAAGAATAGAAGTACTCACCTTATTAAAAACAATCTGCTTGTTCTTGACGCTGATTCTTCAAAAATGGAAAATCTAAAGCAAGAAATTCATGTTTATTAGAATCTAATGTATGTTATCATATATATAAAAATAGCTTTCTAAGTATAAATTTTAAAAAAAAAATTATTAAATACTTTAATTAAAGTTATTAAAACTTATTCATAAGTTCTGATTGAGCCCTACGCGAGTTTGGCTCCATCTACCGTACACACGAGTTCTTATTTCTGCAAGGCTCGGTTTAATGCACGCAAAATAGCTCTTCTTAATCCCTCACACGAAGCTGCACCTCTATTGTACAGAGTCGCTCATCTTCTTTCCTTTGCCCTCTTCTCCTTTATTATTCCTCTTGATAAAGGAGCGACATCCTTCAACCTTCAGATCGGGTCGCACATACTCCTCCCTGCGGCGAAGATGATGTCTCGTGCTGAAGTTAGGGTTGGTAGGCCTCTTCCCCCTCACAACTTCCTCATCACAACTTCTTCCTCTATTTGCGCACGCTAGCCGCTCGAATCTCGACGCGGCCTCCTCGTAGTATTCCTTCCATCGAACCAGTAAGCAACTTAGGCCCTCCTAGTAAGTTCCAACCTTTCATGTCAATTTATAGGGAGAACTCACCTTCTAAACTTCCTACCACTCTTTC